CATCACCGTTCTGTCTGAGCCGGCGTCAAACCCTGGAACACGTAAACAGCTTATCAGGAAATACAGAAGGCGAGATGAGCAGCGTTGGAATACATATAGATCTAATAGTTCAAAGTGTTAGAGCTGAACTGTTGGATGGCAGCTAATGACCTCTTGTAAACGTGTATTTGTAGAGGACAATAATGCTCTTTAGTGTCACAAGCTAAAAATTATTATTATTATTTATAAAAAAACCCGACATTATTTATTTTATACAAAAGGAATTGATTTTTTTCCTGTCCCAAAAGACACCTGGGGGGTCCTCTCCAGAGCCCCAGACCAAGAATCACTGAATGACAATATAGAAACAAACTCTTGACAACATATATTTTATCTTTGAGGTGTCAGATATTAAAGGTGAGGCAGCAAAAGATTGCTGTAGTACTAAAGTCAACCTTTTCAAATAAATTAGAGACAAATAACAGGAAGCAACTTCCTGCTGTCTCTTCAGTTATTCAGCATTCAGTGTTTTTCAAAACATAAGCAAAGCCCGTACACAGAGGAATGCCTTAACCGCTAAACCTGAGAACAAGAGGTTTTCAAAATCATCATTATTATTATTTCATCAACTGAAACTCAGGTCAAACTGCTTCATTTTGGACTGTTTCTACTCAGTCTGTACCTGTCTGGTTAGCGATGAAGGAGGTGAGTGTCTCCAGTGTTCGGTCAGTGTGGTTGAAGCGAGCCATGGGTTTGGCCCCCTGGAACAGCAGGATGTTGGGCACTGCCACGGTCCCAAACCTCGTGGAGAGGCTGGTAGAAGATGAGACGGGCGAGACACAAAAATGACAAATGTTGGTTCAGTTTCAGATATTTACCTGAGCTCCTGAGCTGGTCTAATAAACAGAAACATTTATCTAAAAACAGAAACATTATGATGTTCAGTTTTGGGTGAGACTCTTTTAAAAAGGGTGTTGATTAAACTTTTTTTGAGGCTGCATTATATTTAAGGATGTTTCGATGTTTTTCAAATATGTTTACATAAGCTACATGTTTATTTTTTTCTTATTTTTTCGTCTACTGGTTGCTAATAAAACTGTAAATTATACTTCTACCAGATAAAGGCCTACCTGAGCCACAGACCACAAAAGGTAGTAAAATCAGAAATCCCTTAATGCCCCTTTGAACTTTCACAGTCAGACGGAAGATACACATTAAGCAAAAAAAGATCATTCACCTGCTGTGCTGCGAGGCATCCAGTGCCAGGAAGTGCATGCTGGGAAAGACTCGGGGCAGGGCGTTGAAGTGAGGTGCCAGACTGGCTGAGAACTGGCACCAGGCTGTGAAGAACAGCACCACGGAGCACTCTGTGCTGTTAGCATTCAGGAACTCCATCAGGTCCTGAGAGAAAGGAGGACGCAGACTGACTGAATCCTCTTCTCTGACATTTTATTTTAGGAATAAAAACATACTGACTCTGTTTTATGTGAATTATCAGCAACAAAGTATGTGGTTAGATTAAAAGTTCTATTGCAGTCCTACAGAAGCTTTTAAGAAAGGATTGCTTAAACGTAAAGGCAAAACTGTGTATTGTGTTCTAAGACCATGTGTCAATTTTCTCTATTCTGATTTCTGTCATTCTTGTTCATATTTTATTTGCAAATGAGTTTAAAAACTCCAGTTTGTTAGTATTTGATATATTGCTTGACAAAGAATACAATTACCTCTGCTGGGGTAGTTGTTATTGCCCATTAAATAGTTTGTGTGTCTTGTCAAAAGCACACCAGCAGACATCAAATACTTACTAACAGAACAAACCAAACTACTACTACAAATGTATGGGTCATTCTACATATATTAGCTTTAACGCGGATATACTGGTATCAGTGTATAAGTCAGCCAGTAGGTAAAAAGTTACTGCAGTACAGAAATGCCCAAAATGTATCGAGGTCATTTAGAAACAGTGTCTCAGTTACACAGTTTGTTAAGCACAGATAACTGAACTGTGAAATGCTCAGGTAACTCATAACTGCTCACAAACTGCGGCCGAGGCTGACTGAGGCAGACTGCAGCTGTGATCGTGACTATAGCCTTGGGGTGACAGTTCTGGCTGATGATTATGCTTATGGTCGTGACACATTAGTTTACAGTGGGTGAAGAGTGTTCTGTCTGTGTGTTTTATTAAAGATAATGTATTCCTGAACTGTGGTGTTTTGGTAACACATCTGTTGATCTGGTAGAAGCACTGTGGGTTCAAAAAAGCAAATAAAATCTCTCTTTCCTCATTCTTAATAGTAGTAAATAGCTACCGTAGCCATGTGTATAGCATCATACACTCAACCACAAATGCAAAAAGACCTTACTTGCTTTTAATGTAAAAAGAAAATCAGAAAATAGCCTTCAGATGTTGAGAGTATTTATATGCAGTATGTACCTGTGAAGCGTTGAGGACCTGCACAGTGAAGTTGTCCATTCCCGTGATGTTCCTCTTATCGCAGTTCACCTTGTACGTCTTGGCGGTCTCTGTGGCGTTCTGCTCCTCAGTTGGCGTGATGTCCGCATGCACTATTTCAAGAGTGACCTGCAGGTAGACATCCGAGGAGAAGTCAACTTCTGCACTCATCACTGTGTTTACTTTAACTGATCTTTTAACTAAGGCTACTTCTATAAAACCAGGACTTCAGAATGAGATCGACATATAAAATCTAAACTAGGGCTGCAACTAACGTATTTCACTAACATTTCTTAACGTTGACGTCTTCATTTAACCAACCAAGAATCAAAGATAATAAATTCAATTTACTATCACATAAGATAAAGAAAAGTAATAAAACCTCACATAGAAGAGGCTGTAATGATTTGTGTTTTTGCTTAAAAAAGGTATTTAAATTAATTGTTTCAGCTCTAATCGAAGCACAGAAAGGCAGCTGTTCTGCAGGATTTCAGCTTCTGAATGTATGTTTTCTTTTTAGGGTAAGATTTATTTATCAGAGGACGTCCAGAGACTTAAAAGTAACCTGCTGTGATGATTCGGAGCTGCTATCCTCCAGTGACAGCCCTACAGCAGACAGAGCAGGGGAACCACACTGGGCGCTGTTCTCATCACAAGGTGGGGAGAAGCCCGACTGGAAGTCTTTCACATTTTTGGGGAAGAGCGACTCGATGTCAGATGGATCGATGGGGGCTTCGGTTCCCATCACAGCATCTGCAATCTCAGCTGTCTTGAACTGCCTCTTGGGCAGAGAGTCCAGGTCCTCTGACTCCACAAACTTGGGGCTGTTCTCCAAGTCGGACACCGCATCGTCGGACAGCGTGAGCTCCAGCGACTCGTCATTCTCTGGAAAATGTCAATTACAGATCAAGATCGGCACATAAGATGTTTCTTTCACGGCTGTCCTTCCTGTTCCTTTTGATGGTGTAAGCCACAGTGCTACAGGTAAGCTTTTCATAATCACTTATTTCTAATGACAGCTCTCGTTTTCTTTGCCATAAGTGGACCGTTATCTCCCACGAAAATTGATGAGTGAGTCAAATCCTTGCGCTTAAGGCACGTTTGGCATTGCTTTGTTCCAGACTTTTAAATCAAACTATCTCCAATTTGTTCAGTGATACGTAATAAATTATTTCTTTATCAGGCTAGAGCAGGTCAATGAGTTGTACAGTGTCTTCAGTTGCCAGTGAATAAGGTACACCAAAATAAAACAAAGGCAGTCTAATAAAGTACAGTTCTAGCTTGCTAATAAAATTAACTCACACAATTTCCTAAACTAACTAATTGGTCTTTCTTACAAGCATTTTGTATTTTATTTTTATGTTATTTACCGTGAGTGCATCACTAGCTTTTAAACTCAATGTTCAATATCAAACTATAACTCGTTTCTGGATGTCTAACTATGAGTGTAACGTTACAACACCTTTATAAACTCACAATAATCAGAATTATTCTGCAGCGAAGAACAAGGGCCCGACGTCTGGTTAAAACGTGAACACAACATTGAGGCAACAAACTAACACTCTTACCCGACATTAGCCGTGTAAAGGCAACGAACAGTAGCAGGTAGCGTTAGTATGAGCTGATAAATAACCTTTAATAAGTGTTAGTTAGTTAGTTCAGTGTTTGGTAGCACTGTTGAGCTCACTGCTGTCAGTCTCTTACCTTGCGCAGCCACAGACGGAAACCTCAAAACATTAGAATGAAACAATATGAATGATAACACAGAAGAGGTGAGAAGTTTGTTCAGAATCCCCGTCATATTTTACAGATATGCACCGGTTATCACGACATGTTTAATGTGAGGCGATGATGTGAGGCTCATAGGACAGAAATGTTTGGAGCTGCGGAGGAAGACAATAAATGCTACACCACCGAATTCTACTTCCTCGACTTTAAACCAGCTTCCGGTCGGACAGATGTGTCTTTTTTATTATTTCTAGTTAAATACTTTATAAAAGTAAAAAAACAAACTAGATAGATGTAAATTACTCTTTCTGTGAATTAACGTTACATCATAAAAACTAATTAATTTTAGTATTGTAATTTTACATAAAAGCTTTTTTACATACATTTAATTTTCTCAGATTTTTTTAACTATAGAATATTGTATTTACTTTCTTCAATAAGCCCTTAATATTACTTAATATTTTTATACACAAAATTCTACATTTACAAAATTACATACTATTAATAATAATCTTTATTTATAAAGCATTTTTAAAACCAACATTACAAAGTGCTCTGAGTCTAGTACAAGTAGTTGCAGTCATAGTAACAGTAGTAGATATACTGGTACTCTCAAACCGCTCCTCTTCCTGGAATGAACCACAGCTTGATAAGCCCTCCCAGATTTATTTTCTAGGCTGTGCAAGGCCTTCCCTGCTCAAGGTCCATTCAGCAGTGACGTTTGTTGTTGTTCCCTCCCCTTTCACAGATCTTCCAGTGTAAAGATGGGCATAAGCACTGTGTATTGTAATCTAAGAGGAGAAACGCCCATACACTGTAGATCAGTCAGTCAACAAGGAAATGAGCACAGCTTTTTTCTGGTAACAGAAAGTGAAACTTACTGACATTCACTGTCGTTTGGAGGAGAAATGGCGCAGCAAGGGATTCAGCTTGATCGAGAAAAACTCAGCTGTTCAATCTGTCTGGATCTTCTAAAGGATCCGGTGACTATTCCCTGTGGCCACAACTACTGCATGAACTGTATTAAAGACTGCTGGAATGAGGAGAATGAGAAGGAGAAAACAAACAGCTGCCCTCAGTGTAGGCAGACCTTCACACCGAGGCCTGTCCTGGTGAAAAACACCATGTTAGCAGAGTTAGCGGAGGACCTGAAGAAAGTAGGAATTCAAGCTGCTTCACCTGATCGTTCCTATGCTGGACCTGAAGATGTGTCCTGTGATGTCTGCACTGGGAGAAAACTGAAAGCCTTCAAGTCCTGTCTGGTCTGTCTGGCCTCTTACTGTGAGAAACACCTCCAGCCTCACTATAATCTACCTCTATTAAAGAAACACAAGCTGGTTGAAGCCACTTCAAAGTTTGAGGAGAATATCTGCTCTCGTCATGATGAGGTGATGAAGATATTCTGCCGTACTGATCAGCAGTGTATCTGTTATCTCTGCTCCATGGATGAACATAAAGGCCACGACACAGTCTCAGCTGCAGCAGAAAGGACTGAGAGGCAGAGAGAGCTCGAGGTGAGTCGACAAAACATCCAGCAGAGAATCCAGGACAGAGAGAAAGATGTGAAGGAGCTTCAACAGCAGGTGGAGGCTATCAATCGCTCTGCTGATAAAGCAGTGGAGGACAGTGAGAAGATCTTCACTCAGCTGATCCGTCTCATGGAGAAAAGAAGCTCTGATGTGAAGCAGCAGGTCAGATCCCAGCAGGAAACTGAAGTGAGTCGAGTCAAAGAGCTTCAGGAGAAGCTGGAGCAGGAGATCACTGAGCTGAAGAGGAAAGACGCTGAGCTGGCGAAGCTCTCACACACTGAGGATCACCTCCATTTCCTAAACAACTACCCCTCGCTGTCACGTCTCAGTGAATATAAAGATTTTCCCAGCATTGATGTCCATCCTCTGCGATGTTTTGAAGAAGTGACAGCGGCTGTGTCAATTGCCAGAGATAAACTGCAGGCTGTTCTGAGTGAGGACAAATGGACAAACGTCTCACTGACAGTGACTGAAGTGGGATGTTTACTGCCACAACCAGAGCCCCAAGACCAAGAGCTGGATTCTTACAATATTCACGGTGAACTCACACTGGATCCAAACACAGCAACACATGCTGTTATTATCTGAGGGGAACAAGAAAAAGTAACAAGCGAGTCAACAACATGGTTTATTCTAGTCACCCAGACAGATTTGGTGAATGGTGGCAGGTCCTGAGTAGAGAGGGTCTGACTGGACGTTGTTACTGGGAGGTGAAGTGGAGCGGGAGAGTTTATGTAGCAGTTGCATACAAGAATATTGGCAGAAAAGGGAACAGAGAGGAATGTGGATTTGGATTTAATGACAAATCTTGG